ACGCCTTCACTCTAGTGGAGGTGAGTGTTGCAGTGCAGGAGGTGGGAAGAACGACGCCTTCACTCTAGTGGAGGTGAGTGTTGCAGTGCAGGAGGTGGGAAGAACGACGCCTTCACTCTAGAGGAGGTGAGTGTTGCAGTGCAGGAGGTGGGAAGAACGACGCCTTCACTCTAGTGGAGGTGAGTGTTGCAGTGCAGGAGGCGGGAAGAACGACGCCTTCACTCTAGTGGAGGTGAGTGTTGCAGTGCAGGAGGCGGGAAGAACGACGCCTTCACTCTAGTGGAGGTGAGTGTTGCAGTGCAGGAGGCGGGAAGAACGACGCCTTCACTCTAGAGGAGGTGAGTGTTGCAGTGCAGGAGGTGGGAAGAACGACGCCTTCACTCTAGTGGAGGTGAGTGTTGCAGTGCAGGAGGCGGGGAAGAACGACGCCTTCACTCTAGTGGAGGTGAGTGTTGCAGTGCAGGAGGTGGGAAGAACGACGCCTTCACTCTATAGGAGGTGAGTGTTGCAGTGCAGGAGGTGGGAAGAACGACGCCTTCACTCTAGTGGAGGTGAGTGTTGCAGTGCAGGAGGTGGGAAGAACGACGCCTTCACTCTAGAGGAGGTGAGTGTTGCAGTGCAGGAGGTGGGAAGAACGACGCCTTCACTCTAGAGGAGGTGAGTGTTGCAGTGCAGGAGGTGGGAAAGAACGACGCCTTCACTCTAGGAGGTGAGTGTTGCAGTGCAGGAGGTGGAAGAACGACGCCTTCATCAGGGAGGTGAGTGTTGCAGAGCGAGGTGGGAAGAACGACGCCTTCACTCTAGTGGAGGTGAGTGTTGCAGTGCAGGAGGCGGGAAGAACGACGCCTTCACTCTAGAGGAGGTGAGTGTTGCAGTGCAGGAGGTGGGAAGAACGACGCCTTCACTCTAGAGGAGGTGAGTGTTGCAGTGCAGGAGGCGGGAAGAACGACGCCTTCACTCTAGAGGAGGTGAGTGTTGCAGTGCGGAGGTGGGAGAACGAGCCTTCACTCTAGTGGAGGTGGTTTGCAGTGCGGGGGGGGAAGAACGCGCCTTCCTCGAGAGGAGGGTTTGAGTGTTGCAGTGCAGGGGGTGGGAAAAAAAACGACGCCTTCACTGAGGGGGGGTGAGTGTTGCAGGGGAGGGGGAAAACGACGCCTTCACTCTGTGGAGGTGGTTTGCGTGCAGGAGGTGGGAAAAGACCGCCTTCATTAGTGGAGGTGAGTGTTGCAGGCAGGAGGGGGAGAAACGACCCCTTCACTCGAGAGGAGGTGAGGTTGCAGTGCAGGGGGCGGGGAAGAACGAGCCTTCACCGAGAGGAGGTGAGTGTTGCAGTGCAGGAGGGGGAAGAAGGGCCCCTTCACTCTAGGGGGTGAGTGTTGCTGCAGGAGGTGGGAAGAAGGGCCCCTTCATTTAGTGGGGGTGAGTGTTGAAGTGCTGGTGGTGGGAAGTGACGCCTTCACTCGAGAGGGGTGAGTGTTGCAGTGCAGGAGGGGGGAAAAAAAACGCGCCTTCATCGAGGGAGGTGAGTTTGCAGTGCGGAGGTGGGAAAAACGAGCCTTACTCGAGGGAGGTGAGTGTTTGAGTCGGAGGGGGAAGAAGACCCCTTCACTTAGTGGAGGTGAGTGTTGCGTGGGAAGGGGTGGAAGAACGACGCCTTCACTTAGAGGGGGTGAGTGTTCAGTGGGGGTGGAAAAAGACCCCCTTCACTCAGAGGAGGTGGTGTTGCAGTGAGGAGGGGGGAAAAAGAACGACGCCTTACTTAGTGGAGGTGGTGTTGCAGTGGGAGGTGGGAAAAAAACGACGCCTTCACTCTAGTGGAGGTGAGTTTCCGTGCAGGGGTGGGAAGAACGACGCCTTCACTCTAGGGGGTGGTGTTGCAGTGAGGGGTGGGAAGAACGAGCCTTCACCTAGAGGAGGTGAGTGTTGCAGTGAGGAGGTGGGAAAAAGAACGAGCCTTCACTCTGGGGGAGGGATTTGTTGCAGTGCGGGAGGGGGAAAAGAAGGGACCCCTTCACTTAAGGAGGTGAGTGTTGCGTGGGAGGTAAAAGAAGACGCCCTTACTCTAGGGAGGTGAGTGTTGCAGGCGGGGGGGGAAAAAACGCGCCTTCATTAGTGGGGTGATTTGTTGCAGTGCAGGAGGGGGGGAAGAACGACGCCTTCACTCTAGAGGGAGGTGAGTTTGCGGGCGGAGGGGGAAAAGAACAAAGCCTTCACTCTAGAGGGGGTGAGTGTTGCAGTGCGGGAGGGGGGAAAAAAAGACGACCCCTTCACTCTAGTGGAGGTGAGTGTTGCAGTGCAGGAGGTGGGAAAAAAACGACGCCTTTACTCTGAGGTGAGTGTTGCAGTGCAGGAGGGGGGAAAAAAAAAACGAGCCTTCACCGAGGGGGGGGGGTGAGTGTTGCGTGCAGGGGGCGGGAAGAACGAGCCTTCATCGGGGGGGTGAGTGTTGCATGCAGGGGGGGGGGAAAAAAGACGCCTTCACTCTAGAGGAGGTGAGTGTTGCAGTGAGGAGGTGGAAAAAGAACGACCCCCTTCCTCTAGAGAGGTGAGTTTGCAGTGCAGGAGGTGGGAAGAACGACGCCTTCACTTAGAGGAGGTGAGTGTTTGGTGGGCAGGAGGTGGGAAGAACGACGTTCACTCTGGGGAGGTGAGTGTTTGCAGTGAGGAGGTGGGAAGAACGCGCCTTTACCCCGAGGAGGTGGTGTTGCAGTGCGGAGGCGGGAAAAACAACCCCTTCACTGAGAGGAGGTGAGGTTGAGTGCAGGGGGGGGAAAAACGCCTTCACTCTGAGGGGGTGGTGTTGCAGTGCAGGAGGTGGGAAAAAGAACGACCCCTTCCTTAAGGAGGTGAGTTTTGCAGTGCAGGAGGTGGGAAGAACGAGCCTTCACTCAAAGAGGAGGTGAGTGTTGCATGCGGAGGCGGGAAAAAAAACGAGCCTTCCCTCTAGAGGGGTGAGTGTTGCAGTGCAGGAGGTGGGAAAAGGCCTTCCTCGGAGGAGGTGAGTGTTGCAGGCAGGAGGGGGGAAAAGAAAACGCGCCTTCCTCTGAGGAGGTGGTGTTGCATGCAGGAGGTGGAAAAAAAAACGGCTTCATGTAGAGGAGGTGGTTTTGCTTGCAGGAGGTGGGAAAGAACGACCCCTTCATTAGTGGAGGTGAGTGTTGCAGGCAGGAGGTGGGATGAACGACCCTTCACTCAGAGGAGGTGAGGTTGCAGTGAGGGGGGGGAAAAGAACGAGCCTTTTCTAGTGGGGGTGAGTTTTGCAGTGCAGGAATTGGGAAGAACGACGCCTTCACCTAGAGGAGGTGAGGTGTTGCAGTGCAGGAGGTGGGGGGAAAGAACGACGCCTTCACTCTGTGGAGGTGAGTGTTGCGGCAGGAGGGGGGGAGAACGCGCTTATCTAGGGAGGGAGTTTTCAGTGCGGAGGGGGGAAAGAACGACGCCTTTCACTCTAGAGGGGGGGAGTGTTGCAGTGAGGGGGGGGGAAAAAACGACCCCTTCATCTAGAGGAGGTGAGTGTTGCAGTGAAGAAGCATCCGACTGTGAAGTCAGCGATTTTTGGGAAAAACAGCGATTAAATGACGACAGTGAATGTGTTTTTATGGGTTGGGAAAAATACAGCAAAGGGGTTATAAAAAAAAAAACGATGGCGGAAAAGCTTAAATCTAGAGAAAACAACTTGTTTGAAAATCATTTTTTTTATTGTTGGACTAAAACTTAATTTGTATTCACTTATTTTATTTAGGATACAAAATTTTCAAAAATTTCCATTCATTGTAAAAGGGAATAAAACTGTCATTGAAATTTTTGTTGACAATTTCATTTTGACTATTTAAAACATTTTTTAAATATAATTTTTGATTCAATTTTATTATAATATATATATTATATTTATATAATATATATATATATATTATTTATATATTTTTATATATAATATTATTATATTTTTTATATATATATTTATATATAAAAAATTAAAAAAAAAACATATATTATGTATTATATATATAATTTTTTTATATATATATATATATTTATATATATATATATATTAATTTTATTATATAATATTATATATATATTTTATAAAATTTAAATTTTTATATATAATTTATTTATATATAATATTTATATATATATTATATATATATTATTTATTTATATTATTAATAATATAATTTTTATATGTATATTATATATATATATATATTTTATATATATATATATATATATTTATATAGTATATATATATATATATATAATAAAATATTTTTTTTTAAAATATATATATATTTATTAATTTATTTAATATATATAACATTATTTTATTTCAAAATATATATTTAAGTTTATATATTAAGTCAGTATGGCACAAAATTGCCAGAGAAAGTGCGGGTATAGAGCTCTACCTTGCCCAGTGAAGCTTCTGCTGCCATTTTTGGCTTCCTCCACAGTACTATAAAGCCCTTTTTTATGAATAGTTATTCAGTTATCGTGGCTTTTTAGTATAGTGTATGTAATCTTGTCTTCCAAGAGGGAATAAATGAATAATTCGTAAAGTCCACTTATTTTCCTTGTTATGTACTAGTAACACCAAACTTTTAGCTTTAAATATTCTCATATTATTCTCACAAAGTTACACGATTACTGAAATAAGTGTTTATTGGTAATTCAGTCAGTCAGTAATGTTTTTAAGAAATTGCACCGTGATGATCTGCGTGTGTCATTTATTGCAAAATCATTCCATGTGTTGCTACTAATAACAACTCATCGAACAGTTTCCACAAAATTTTTCCTAATATATCAATGAAGACAGGACAATATCTACTCAAAATATGTGAGATAAAAATCATCATTCTGGAATACTGACAACTACCGATTTTTCGATAGTTCTGAATTATACCTCAAATCAAATGTTTTAAGACAGAAACATAAATGAATGCTAATCATAGTAAGACACAAAACTTTTTAATGATCTGCAATGGGCAACGAAAAATTACCGGTTCCTCAGAGACTGAAGACCTCCGAGAATCATCATGTCCTATCTTTTCAAGGGCCTTCTCAGAACAAGATCGCAGCTTAGTCTCAACAAAAGCCTTTAGTTCATCGAGTTTCTTTTTCTTCCTCGTGCTGCCTCCAGAACTAGTCATACCTTCTCGCTGAGGACATGGATGGTCCGACAAGAATGGTGAATCTGTAAATAAGAGCGTAGCTTTAAAAATGTATTTATATTAGGATAAACACTAATACTCCTACTTTCTCATCAGTTGGAATATTTGCTGTGGCGTTACTGTGAGCAACTCCGCCTCTCCACTATCCCATTTTCTATTTTTATGTATTCATTATAAGCTCTTAAAAAGTATTTTGTACTCCAGTATTAAATAATAATAAAATTACATAAACATGTTCATTGAAAGCCTCAAATATTTAAGAAAAACATACATGCAGGTATAAGAGACATTTCTTTAATTCCCTACTTACCAAAACTAGATGCATGTTTGTGTGTGTATGATTCAAGGGAAGTAACCCGGCCTGATATAACACCAACCCCTAGACATTCCCTGATAAAAAAGTACAAGCCCTCTTTTCAATTAGAACCTACACATTCCATTAACATTCTGAATGAGTGCTGTTCGAGAGAGGTAAAGCCGCCTCATTAATACCAACCCCCAAACATTCCCCAGTACCACAAATAACAACACAAGCTAAATTTTTTAACTGACAAATTAGCACCTGCACATTCCAGTAACAATCAGAACCATCGGTAAGATGTACCGGCCTTAAATGTTCATGCATGTTAGTGACTTTCTTTATGCCTAACAATAATTTATTACATGTAAACTAGAGTTTGTATACTACACAAAATGAAAAAAATTATTTCATTTGATGCCGATCAGATGAAGCGGTCTCGTAACATCTATTGGAAATCAATATTGCTTTTTGTTTAATACAGTTTAAAATCTGACACCAACACAATATAACGTCAAATTTAATTAAATTTACTCTAATGAAAGTACACCGATCAGAAAATGGTATTCCTAAATAATTTCAGGGAAAACAAATTTTAAATGCCTTATTAAAAATGGAAAATTAGCACCTAGGCAGCCCACTCACAATTTTAAACTTCACCACAAGTAAAAGTAAGTTATTTTAGTTATAACAACTTGAACCTAAACAAAGGTAACACTGTCAGGTCAGTGACAACCAGTTCCTCAAACTGTTCAACGAAATAAACTGAAGGTTTGACGCCATAAAAAAATAGACATTAAATTCTGCATGGAAACCCAAAAAATCCTTGGAGGAAGAAACAACTCAGGTAGCCAGTGATGTTTCTTCTTGAAGGGAAATACCAAATATTTTATGGGAAAGTCAATGTGTTGCTTATGGGAAAGTCATTGTATTGCTTCAGTGCAGATATACCAAAATATCAGTTCACTCACTGAATCTCCTACATATGGGAATATAATAAATCTTAGTGGTTAAATTATCTCTTTGTTCTGTTATTAGCAGCTCACTAGTACTGTTAAAAGTGAGGTGCATTTTTTATTATCTTTATCATTATTGTTGTCATACCATTTGGCAGCAAGTTTAATGTAAAAGAAAAAGTATAGTGTTGGTAAAACTCACAACAAACACACCCACCACACACACACACACACAACAACACACCCCCCAAACCCAACAAAACACAAAACCACACACACACACACACACACACACAGTGTACCGTCCAATTTATTTTAAGGGCTACCCAAAGATCGCTTTTCACTAACGTTTGGGTTGTTTCGTCAATGCTTTCCTATTTCCTTTATAAATCTAAATTTTGCCCCAAACTTGAATTCGCTACTGCGAGTCCTATCAATAATAAAAAAGATTAAGTAACGGCTTGACAAACCTCCTGGAGAGCAAAATGTTGCCATGAGATCGAAAGTTCCATAAAAAAATGTCATATTGTTGATTTGTGTCATTTTACCTAACAGGGGTTCAACTCCCTCTAATGGGGCATACTTGCCTCATACATGGTGAATACTTCCCTCATACTTTTTAACTTGCCCATACATGGTTCATACTTCCCTCAACATACTGAAACCTATGAAAAAGTCACACACCCAATGATAGTCCTTTCCTAATTTTTTTGGCTTTCACAGTCCCCCGTCTTGTTGAATCATCCCTTTTACCGGTTGGGTTGGGTAAGGTTCTCAGGAAACGGAAAATTTTCCTGACGCGGGTCTATCAGTGATGACCCCCCTTTGGGCTTTTGGTCTCTCCGAGGCCTTCCGCGGCTTACGGTCCCCCCCCTTTTAAAAATTATGGTCATTTAAAACCCATTTCTGTTTTTTTCCCTTTACAAAATTTTCCTTTTATAAAACTAGTTTGTGGTTTTTGTCCTGTAATGTTTTCCCTTTCTCATTACATTGTCAAATGCTCAAGCTTAAAATAAGTGTTTTAAACCGACCCTTTCTTCCCCTCTTTCCCTTTTTTTTTTCCTTTTCGTCTTTGTTTTTTTTTTCTTCGGTATTGGTTTGTTAATAAATTTCCTCCTTCTGCGCTTGGTCCTACCCCTTGCGGGACTTAGCTCTCCTGCAGTGTCCCCCTTCTACTTCTCTTGTCTTCTCCCCCCCCTTCCCCTACTACCTCTCACCCCTCCTCCCCTTTTTTCTCACTTTTTTGGCACTAAAAATATTCTCCTACTTTTTTACCCTATTTTCCTCTAAATTACTTTTCCACTCCCTAAAAATGCCATGCCCCTATTTCTATCTTCTATCTTTTCGTTAGTGTGGCTTTGTAAAAAAGGCCCAAGTTGGGTAAACGTCGTCATAAGCTCCTCTCTCCCTTTTTCTGGTTATTTTTTGTTTTGCAAAACTCTGTGCACCCGTTTTGTCTCTTCTTGTTCAGTTTATCTGTAAAGCTTTATATAAAAAGAGAAAAGGGCTGAATGTAAAATGGATTATTAAGTGGCAAGGGGAAATAATTTTAGTTTTAAAAAAAAACAGCAATTTCACAATGAATAGCAACCTTTTTAAAAAGACTGAACACAGCCAGGCACAAGTGATGTCTTTTTACTCTTCCGACAAGCAAAAATGTTCCTACGATTCATTTTTTGTGAAGACAGCCCCAAGGCTTTAACCCAAATAATTTAAGTGTATACAATTAATTAAAACCCCAAAAATTGTCCCTATTTACGGATTAGTTAGTTCTGATTTAGATTTAGTTTTAGCATTGCTAAAAAAAAAAAAACTTCGACGCTTTCAGTTATAAAATTGACATTTTAAAGTTGACCATGTTATCATTACCATTCATTATTTTAATTTTCAAATACCTTAGTGATAATTGTTAGTAAAATTTGTATTGTAGAAAGCCCCCGTAAAAAATGCTGCCATTCTTGACTAAATTTAAGTCAAGATTCCTCGTTTTTTCCCACAATTATAGAGTTTTCTCTCATTTTGTGAAAAAGGAAAAAAAAATTTGCCATTTTCCAATTATCCGACTGTTATCCATTGTAGGGATTTATTCACAGAACAGGGGTGGTTTAATAAGATTACTTTTTTTAAAACCCGTACAGACAGTTTTCATGTCAGTGATATTTTTTAAGTGTTAATCAGTTGTCCTTGTCCACGACACTATGACCCCTTTATCTTGTATAATTATTTCCCATTGATTGTTTTTTAAAAATGATTTCTAGAATTTTTTTTGTTTTGTGTAAAATCAGTAGAAATAAATTAAACTTGTGGTTTAGAAAGACACGTAAACAAACACTATGACATATTTATTAGAAAACGTTTCGGTCCTGGGGGGCCCTTATCACTTCTAACATACAGGGGTTTAGAAAGCATTATATATAAGGCGGAGAGTGGAGTGCGCACGTGACCTGAGGAATGTCAAAAAGAACATGAAGGGAGAACACCACGATGCTGTAAAAACACTAACCCAAAGGGCCCGAGGGACTTTTCCTCATCTTTGTATTTATTTTTTAAAATGTCTTCCTATTATGTCCTAGAATCTGTTTTGAAAAAGCCACGGATGGCAAACGCCTACAATAAAGATATCCAGATTTTGCACATTTTTTCTTAATTTATGGAGGAAACACTTAGAAGGCCCCCTTTACGGGCCCCATGCAGGGCAGCCCTTTATCAAAAAAAACCTCTGCCTTGATAGGGGTAGATGATGAAATCATGTGACCCCTTGTTTTGGGTTGTGCTGCTTAAGTATCATGTTGTTTTGTAAGGACCGCTCGCATGGGCCAGTAGGCCTTCTACAGTTTTTCCCTCCATTCTTTTTTCTTATGAATTCCCGGGTCACGGCGTACACCTCACTCTCCGCCTAATAAATAATGTCTTTCTACCTCTGTATGTTAGAAGTATAAGGTCTCAGGCCCGAAACGTTTTTAATAAATATGTTTAGTGTTTGTTTTCGGTCTTTCAAAAAAAATTGTCGGTATTTATTACCAAATTTTATACCATTAAAACTTGTACGTTTTTTTTCTGTCAAAACATTAAATTGGCCTTGTTTCAATGAAGATGGTCGCTCTTTCCCTTCCTCCTTCCCCCCCCAATTTTTTTTTTTGCGTTGGCTTTGATTCTCTCGAACTTTAATTTCATAATGCCGTTGGTTATGATATTTTCGTTTTTTTTTTTTCTCTGAACTGAAGACATTGGTCACCAAATCCATCTTGCTTTCATTCGCCTTAATCCAAATTTCCTAAAAGGATTAGTTCATTTCTATTCTTTCAGCCTCAATTATTTTTTTCCAATTTTTCCACTAGAAAATATTCGAAAGGACAAACGCGCTGCTTTGAAAAATCCATATGGATTCCATTTTACTTGTCCCCGGGGCCTGACTCACATTAATTGAGTAGGTCCATCAGTCACACCTTGAGATAACCTTTAACCCCATTTAGTCTGCAGCCATGGGGATCCCTTTGCTTATTATGCTATTTAAAAAAAAAAAAGAGATTTTAAAGCGGATTTGTAAGTTTTTCAGTGTTCTGTCACCAACATTTAAAAAGTAAAAGGAAAACAACATTTCAATATTTACGAGTAAGTTTTTTTTCTTTAGTTTATAGGCTTTTATGATTTTTTTTGATATTATTTAGATTTTTTTTGAATTCATCAAGGGGTACTTTCCTCATTTTTTATTTTACTGATACTTTCATGCATGTGCAACCACGTACTCATAATACATAACTAGTAATGC